AACATTTTGCTAATCTTTTTACAGTAAATGTTCGAAGTAGTTCCCACGATGTTCAATACAAAGTTTCATCCCTTCAATCCACTTATTGAATGTATTTTGATATTCTTGAATAGTTATTGAACTGAACTCTTTGGATAACGTATTAGCTAAGTTTGTAGCATTTGGATATGTACCAAGACTACGTTTCAGACAATTGAACAACCAAAAGCCTGAAGAAACAAGGTGAGGTGAATATAGTGGATGAGCCGTAACTCCGATTTTCTTCTTGAAGATAATCAAGATAAGATCGATATCTTGCACACATGGTTTTGCATTGTCAAAAAAATGCAAATTTAATGCCATGTTTTTGATGACGTTTTTTTCTTATGTAAATTTTTGACTAATCTTTTTAGACATTCAGCACAATAATACATGTAATAAACATGTATGAGGTAGTAGTAATATAATCAATACTAATATGTGGATCATCATTTACTAGGCCTGAATCGTATCAATATTTTGTTGAGTAATTATGGATAACGAACGACCATTTCGAGGATCATCGTCTAACGACTCCCGTCCACTTAAAAATCGATCCATCCAATAAGCAACTGTACTATATGAAATAACACCTTGTCAATAAGCAGCAGTTAATGCATCATGAATTTGTGTAGCAGTTAAACCTCATAACCAACGAGTTTTTATACTTGGGCGAATACTAGGTTTATCCGTCTGAAAACAGAGGTGTTGAAAAAATGGATTAGATATTTGTCATTATAGACACTTGTGAAACTTCGTATTGGTATTTTAACACATAACAGATGTCACTACTAGAATAGGCCAACATCAGGAATAAAATCAATCAGGATGAAATTTTAGAGTACTATTCCGAGAACTTTTTGACTACTCTATGTAAAATATAATATCGAGTATCTCAAATGTACGACGAACTCAGTAAGCATATACAGATATGTAATTTGTCTACGTAAAGAACTTATTCACAACATCAGATTGTAAATTATTTTTTCGTGCATATTTCACATCATTAAATGGTTTAAAATAGTCTATAACAAACAATATAACACTAATAAATGAATTATAAAGAAATATCAACCAATATTTTGTTATTTGACAAGTGATAGTATACAATTAAAACATCACATAGCAACAAAAATATTTCATGAAAATTTAACTTTACCATGATCATCATTAATACACTGTTCAAATCATAATGATCAAGATATATATCGGAAAAATAGATTCGTTGGAGGATGTGGGTGGTTGTGGGTGTGAGGGTGGGGTGAGTATGAGATGTGGGTGTGAGGGTGGGGTGAGTATGAGATGTGGGTGTGGGTGTGGGTGCTGTTAAATGTATCTATATTCACACCCCACACCCTAAAGCACAAACAATTTCATAAATTCAATCTATTGAAGCTTCAGATTAATTTATATCCATAATGTCATCAATAGTTTGCACGTTTTGTTTTAGATTTCTATGAAGATAGCTTTAAAGAAACTCACATGCGTCTAAAGTGTATTATGCTTGACCCATCATTCATATGTTGTCGGTTAAGTTGAGAAGTCGAAGTTAAAAGTATGATTGAGGTAACTATTTATTTGTTGTGCATTGAGCTGAATCTAGTTTTTGCGAGTATAAACAGCGAAACGAGCAGCCTCATCATCACGATCTTCATCTTCTTATAGGAAAAAATCGATAAGTATGACAAACAGTAGAGAAATACTTTTGTTTTGGTAGAATTGAATTTGTCTATTTAGTTTGTTACGAGTATCAGAATTAGAAAAATTTTTTGATGGTCATCGAGGATTAGAAAATTACTATGCAATTTTGTTGGATAGAAGTGTTTTTCATAGAGTCCCCCTCGGACAAAAAAAACGACCTTTTTCCATCTCATTTTTGCATCACTTAATAAGTTGTTTCAGAAAAATAAAATATACCAGGAGATGCAGCGTAAAAAGAACTACAATGTGCAAAGTAAAGCTTATTTTAATTTTGTACTTTTTGTTTTCAAAAGAAGCAAAATTGTGTGCGACCAATTTTCGACGCTGGGAAAAAATCATTTTTTTCTATGCGAACGAGAAATTCCTTTTTCCTTATTTCATCTTTTTATCAACTAATATGTTTTTGTAAAAAAAAATAAAATATACCACAATATGCAACGTGAAAAGCTCTACAATTTACGCAGAACAGTTTATTGAAATAAGAAGAAAGGAATTTTTTATTGGTGTAGAAAAATGATCCTTTCGCAGCGTCGAATATTGGTCGCACTGAATTTTGCTTTTTTGAAAAACGAAAAGTACAGAATTAAAATAAGATTTACTTTGTAAATTGTAGTTCTTTTCACGCTGCATCTCCTGGTATATTTTCTTTTTTTAAAACAACGTATTAAGTGATGCAAAAATGAAATGGAAAAAGGTCGTTTTTTTTGTTCGAGGGAGAGTAGTTTTTAAGGTCAAAATCATTAGTTTTCAGTTCCGTTTTATCAAAAGATAGTTCTCTGCTTGATACTATTATGAATTCTTACTTTCTTCTCGCTCAACCAGTTTTGTCTGAGGTTCAGCTTATGTGAGTGTGGGTGTAAGTATGACCGTGAGTTTTCTGAAGAAAAGACTACAATTTCACCTAGATCTTGCTCATGCTCTTGAGAGAAGTAAAAATGGGCATTCAAAAAGATAATCAGATGTAGGTAGGTATGCACCAGCGCCAGTTAACTGGGTACCCAGTTGGACTGGGTACTAGCCGGGATGCAACGGTGACGATAACCGTAGGTACGGTTTTCGTTCCAACTACGGTAACCGTACCAAATGTTATTGGTTCAAGCGGGTTTTCACAAAAACAGCATTTTTTAAGAAAGTAACGATTTTTTATAAAGATTGACGAAAGTAAATCGAGGTCGGAGAATCCGAATCTGTAATTAGTTTTTTGAAATTTTGAATTTTACTTTTTTTCGTTAGGGGTAGGTATGCACCAGTCCTATAAAGTCGAATCAAAGATGAACGATTTTTCGTATCTAAAATCCCCAGTCCTTACCAGTCTTCCGAGTTCTTTAAACTCAATTTTGAGCAGGCTAACCAACGCTATCATTGAACTCCGGAGAACTAAACGTAAAGAAAAAAGGACTGGGGGGGACTAGTAAAACAACCGAAAAATTCCGATTTTTCACCAGTCCCCCCTCCCCAGTCCTTTTTTTATTCACGTTCAGTTCTCCGAAGTTCGATGATAGCGTTGGTTAGCCTAATCAAAATTGAGTTTAAAGAACTCGAAGAACTGGCAAGGACTGGGGATTTTAGATACGAAAAATCGATCATCTTCGATATCAACTTTATAGGACTGGTGAATACCTAGTTAGGGGAAGGGTTTTTTAAGAAAGTAACGAGTATTTATAAAGGTTGACGAAAGTAAATCGGGGTCAGAGAATACAAATCTGAAGTCGGGTTTTCGAAATGTTGAGTTGCATGTTTCCGTATAAAATTGCTTTTTTCGAAAAAAATGGTTTTTGGAAAAAAAACAATTTTTTCCTGTAACCAAGCTTTTTAGGAAAACCATAACTTTCAGAAACAGATATTTTCGTGAAAAAGCCAAACTCATAATTTTGAAAAACTGATTATAGATTCGGATTCTCCGACCCCGGTTTACTTTCGTCCAGCTTTATAAAAAATCGTTATTTTCTTAAAAAATGCTGTTTTTTGTGAAAACCGGCTTGAACCGATAACCGTTGGTACAGTTACCGTAGTTGGACCGATAGTCGTACCTACGGTTATCGTCACCTTTGCATCTCTACTATATACCTTATAATAATTTACAAAGAGTACCCCTATATACCCTATAATGACTTATGGAGGGTATCCCTATATATCCTATAATGACTTATAGAGGGTATCCGTATATACTTCATAATGGCTTACGAAGAGTACCCCTATTTATTTGATAATGCGTTGAGTTATATAGATACCCAGTCCGACTGGTACCCAGTCCCCAGTTCTACACTGGCACTGATGCATACCTAGATGTAGGGAAGAGACCGATGAATAGTTGCTCAATCATATTTGAATTTATCATTTGCAGTAGAACAGATTCATTGTGAGAAAGTGTTCGTTCTTGCAATTTTGATTTTCTTTGGAAACACATCGGTCGAACTTAGGGAACACTCACAATTTGAAGCATCACTTATGTTTGCAAATAAGAGTGATCGAATGTAAAGCTATTTTGTCTATTAAACTATATGATATAGTAACTCGCGTGCATCGGTTCTATCGAGTTCAGATTAGAGTTCGCACTCCAAGAAGTCCATTTCCAAGAACACTCGAATGCATTCCGAAACCATTGAAGATCTCCAGAGTTTCAATAAGTCCTGAAATGATTGCCACAAAAGATCAAAGAATTAAGTTCGATCAGTTTTCGAGATCGAGGAATTCAAATCTATAAGTGATCTCCCGTAAAACGTAGAATTCGAAAGTTTTTTAAAAGGATCTTTAGAATCGGATTCCTGGGTTCCAAAACACTTCGTTCAAACTTTATGAAAATCATTATTTCGCTAAAACTAGCTTTCCTTGATCTAATAATATCGGGTGTCCCAGGAATAATGAGCCTCCCAGTATTTTTAAGATTTCCTGTCTATTATCACTGTAAGTAAAGCTGTCTTAATTATCAAAAGAAAGCGCTTAAAATTCTCTACAAAACCATATATGACTAGGCTCAAAAACAGTTTTAGATATATTTGAAAAAAGACGAAAGCTAAAGACATACAGACGGCTGTAAAATGTAAATATGTCATCAACNATCCGACTCCGATTTAAGACTCTATTTTAACAAACCTACTGATTATAAATGGTTAATTAAACAACGATCAAGAACAAGACTCTTAATGTCGTTTTCTTATTAACTTAAAAACCAAGAAACAGCAACTATCTCAGTCAGAATCAAGTAATATAAATGAGTATCTATAATAGACTTGTTTGTCTTTCTCTGTCAAAATCAAATTCTTTGAAATACTTTTCAAAAACTAAAACTTACCCATAATTTTCAATACTTCAGTTAAACTTAATAAAACTCTTTTTTTCGAATGTAAAGGTGTACTATTCGATAATAATTCTGTTTCAAAATCACATAAAATTCCTAATAATTTCGATTGTAAGGCTTTATAAACACATTCTTTTGTAACAACATTTGAATAATCTTTATCCATTGTTAATGATATTCCATCTAATATACCCACAGCCATTTGTAAACCTTTCATAACATGTTCAGGATGTGTACTTATATAAAGTAATAATTTACTAAATATAGGTGGACCACCAAAACGAAATACAGCAGCTAAATCAGCACCAGCTTCTTGTTCAATAAATTCATTAACTTCATAAACACGATTTATTGAATAATCTCCATTTAAAGTTTTACTATTATCAAGACGTACATGTCTCCATACATGTGAATATATAGCTGGAAATGCATCAAAAATAACTTTTTTCTTTGACATTTTAACTGCTGTTCGAATATGTTGTACAACTCGACTTGCATTTAATGAACGTTCTTCAACAATCCATGGTAATAAATCTGGTAAAATACGTTTTAAATATGTATTAAATGAACTTCCATTTTGTTGCATCATACTAAATAATAAATGTAAATGACGTAAACATATATCTGATGGTTGTTCAGAATTTAATAATAATGATTGTGATATAAGACGATATAAACTATCTGTATGTTGTTGTACAATTGTTGTTAAATCAATATTTTCATTTATTGTTAAAAGATTTTTATTTTTATTTAATTGAATTTGATTATGATTTTGTAAATATTCATCTTTAGCTATATTCATTAATTCAATTTGTGATGTATGTTGAAATGATGTTGCTAAACCATTTATTAAAATAAATAAAACAAAAACAAATATATCTTCATTACATGTACGTCGAGCAATTAAACCACATAAATGTATTAAACGACTATAATCATCATCATGTTGATTTGTTGTTTGTCGAATAGCATCATTATTTAATTGTGTTAATGTATCAAATAAAAATTGATCAAGATTATCATTAAGACAATTATCCCATTGAAGATTATTTAATATTAAAATTGTTTTAAATAAATATGGCATGATGGATAATAAACATAAACGTTCTTGATTATTTTGATTAAGATAAATATTAAATAGATGTTTTAATTGAAGAAAATTTTCATCAAGTTCATTAAAAGGACGAATAAATAATGGATGAAAATCAAATGTTTGAAAAAACTCAATTAGAGAAATATAATTACATGGAATAGATGTTTGATTAAATAAATGAAATATTGGAAGAATATTTGATAAGGAAAATAATGTTGAATTAGTGTTGTTAATTGTTGATGATCGTGTACGAATGTAAACATTATTATTTAATGATGAACATGAAGTACAGATAAGTTCAAATGAATTGAGTATAGTTTGATTGAAATGATCATGAATCTAAATAATATTATACCAAGTAATTGTTCACTTTCCCTTTTTTTGTTAAAATAATTCTCTTCTCAATTAAGTGAAAATTTTTTATTTATTAAACATCAAGCGATGAAAAAGTGCACAACAAGAAATAACTGTTCGTTGACGTTTCTTGACAGCAGCTAACAAATAGATAAAAACCTTGACCCTTCACTTCTTCATGTACCTGAAGAGTGTTAGATATTAGTGGTTAAAAAAATTCAGATCTACACAGGATTCAAATATAGAACTGTCGAGTAATTGATTTCTCTATCAGTTTATACTTCTTGATGTAAGAGAAAACGTGGGATTAATTTTAAAATTCTACATTGCTTTAAAAGAAGTGAAGAATGCATAAAATACAGATGTGTTATCAAAGAATATCTATTGCTACTGTATATTAATGTATGTTCGAGCACACTACTAATCTTGAGTAAGGTTTTTATTATTATCTTGTTTGAGATTATATTAAGAAAAGATTATTTGTATGTTCGCCTACTTAACAAGTATTTTAAAAAAAAGTGAGGAAACTTACTTTTAATTGAACAGTATTAGTATCAATATCAAATAAACATCGATGCATACGCCAAATATCTATTACTATTGGTTTAAGTCTAGCATCAATATCTGTTGGACAATATTTTGTATAAAAAATTGATAAAAAAGATGTTGTTTGTAAATTATATTGCATTAATGGTAATACTTTAAGTGCCATTAATTGTGTGTTTATATCATTATCATTAAGACATGAGGAAAATATATGAAGGCGAAGTATAGGATAAAATTGTGAATTAAATAATGACAAACATTTTAAAGATATTAATCGATCATTTTGATTAAATTTTGATTGAAATGTTTGAGCAAGTTGTTTAGTTATTTTACATGTATCCATTATCGGTTGAAAATCATACCAATCAGAAAGAGAAGATAACCAAGAGAGACATAAGATCGATAGAGTATCTTCACGTAAACGAACGTCTAATTGATCTAAAGCAATTCACAATTTATGTATTGTTAATATTACTATTGTCTCCAAAATAAAATAAACACAACAGTTTCTTCGATACCTGAAGAAAATTCGATAGGATATAATACATTGCGTGCCTATTTAGAAACCCACACTTCTATGGTCAAACGTTTCATTTTTTATTCAAATCTAATTTGCAACATGATCGTTCAATAGAGAAAACTCTTTCCTTTCGATCTACATAAAGTTGACGACTCTGACTTGTTCTCTTAAAATCTGTAAAGTAATGTTAAGAGTCTTAGCCTACTTGTGCGTGGTTCAAGGTCAAAAGTTCGAAATCGGAGGTCTTTGGAAAAATCCTTACAACTTTGTAACGGAACAAACCACAGTCGTTGACTTTACGCAGATCCAAAGAGAATAAATTTCTATCCCTCGAATGAATTTTATCTCGCCAATTTTCTCCGTATTGATGTTTCTATGCTAAGAACTACAAGTATAGATAGCTGATTCTATTTTTCAAATATTGAACAAACAATCGTGTTCATTTTATTTTTCCGTATACGGAAATCCTTAAGACATTTACCGGAAATATAAATTGATGTTGCAACAATTGTAGCTAAAACATATTCATAAGCAAGAGAGAACAATCCAACAGTAACACTATTAACAAGATAAACAAGTATATTAATTAGATAACCATAAATCGAACTAATTTCATCGATAGTTAACCAAGATATATAAAATTCATTTTCTTCGATTGATCCTAATTTAATCTGACGTTTTTGACATCCGATAAATGCTTGACAAACAGAAGTTATTAAACAATAAACATTAAAAACACGTTGTAAAGCATCCTAAAATTCATCATTAACTTACATTAATTATTCTATGAAAAACAAAATCTAACCTCTTCATTATTGAATGTACTTTTTTCTAACGTCGTTTTCAAATGTTGCCATATAGTTTTTAACAATCGTATTCGTCGTACACTAATTCAAAAGATAAAACAATGCATTTGTTAGTTTTAGATTTGAGAAACAAAACATTTTGTTGTTTAACATATTTTCTCATGTTTCTGAAACTTTTAGAATATATGCTCATTTAAACTAAAAAAATACTCTCGTTTGTACAGTAAAGACTAAAGAATCGAATTTCTACATCATACTCTAACAATATATGCACGAAATTATCTTCATGCTCTTAACTTTCATTTTTTCACATACCGAAATGATTGTTGTGAAGATCGATTTTTTTCTTGAATCAACCAAATAATAACTTTTCCTAATACATGATTTAAATACTAAAAACAAACTTTATTAAATCAATAAATTAAAACACAATGAATGATTACTTTTGCTAATAGACATTCATCAAGATTTGCTAATAAATGTTCAACTATTTCATATGCATGTATAACTAATAATGAACTAGTACCAATATCTCTTTGACCGCATTCAAATAAAATTGATAACCATATAGAAAATTGTTCAAGATAAATTTCTGTTTGTACTTCACCAAAAAGTCTTAATGGTCTATTATTCATATGAAATTCAATATCTGCTTTACTAGCTATACTAATATGAATAAGTAAATCTTTTAAACGAGGTATAACAAAACCAATATGTTCCGCAAAAAACACGATTGCTTCATCATGATTTCGACAAATTATTTTAAGAAAATGAGAAAAATCATGTTCAAGTTGCGTCGAATGCCTGAAAATAAATAAATAAGTACATATTAAAGATGATTTTGCAAGGGCAAACTCGAAATCGAGCATACTTATACTTCAGGATCATTCCATGATTCTTCAATAGCCTCATAAAATCCTAGAACAATTATCCAAATACCTGAACTCGAACTATTCATTCCAAATATCAAGCCAAAGACTGGTTTCTATCCATACCTACTTGCTTACAGAAGATATTGAGGTTACAAGGGTTAAAATATGCCCCTCCTTCCTTCGACACAATATGTCTCATAGAGTTGAAAATGTTATTACACAACTATTTATGGTATTTTCTTTTTTTTTTCTAGAAGTCTTTTGTGTAAATCATGACAAAAGCCCAGCGATACACCATGTTTTGAAACAAAATCAATAGATACTCTAAACACTTTCTAGTATTAGTAGAAAAAAAAGTTTCAGTTCGATTAGACGTAGTGTCCTTGAGAAACAGGGGTAGACATATGTGGAATCAAGTTTTTGTGGTCCCGGTCTGAATAGAACTATTTCAGACTATATTTGTATCAAATTTGAAGAAAAAATTTTTCAACACTCATTTTTTGATTTGTTTAGTCGACGGTTAGCATATTTTTGAGCCATTTTTCTTGAATTGTTTTGATTTTTACTCGCGAATCTAGTCTCGGTAACCAGAACGGAAATTAAAGTTGGTTTTGCACATCTCTAAACGAAAGCGATTCTTCACTTTCTTTTCACCAAAAAATTCATTTTTTACAAACAGTAAAATAAGATGAAGATTTTAATGTTTTCTCAAAAAAACAATTCAATCTCTTCAATTTTTTTTTGACGTTTACAGTTGTCTACTATTTCTTCAAATATGTCCAATAGATAGAAAACTCTTTGAAGTATATGTAGAACGAAATTCGAATACGGAAGGATGCTTCCAACACGAAAAAAAAGTAATTTACTTTGGTTCTGTATGAATAAAATTCATAATTGTTAAAAGAATATCAGATATTGAAAAATAAACATAGGGTTTTAAATCACCAATTAATAATTCTAATGAACGATGTTCAATAAAAGATGAAAAAAATGAAAATGCTGTCTAAACAACAAAAAGGAACAAAAAGAAGCAATTATTTGAAATAAGAATAGTAAAAGTTTCATCAACGAACTGATTTCACATGTATATCAGCTGTACGAATTAATTCACATAATGTTCCAATTAAAATTGATATTGTTTGACGATCAAGTAATGTTGATAATATACTAGTAAGATGTTTAAGTACCGAGCTTTTAAACGAAAACATAAAAATATTAATTTATAAACAAAATTTTTTTCTAGGAAATACAAATTTACATTAGATTTATTTGAAAATTACTAATATCATCTGAACAATTAAACTCGATAACACATCGTTCAATTGTAACATTAGTTGAAAATGATGAACTAACTTGTTCAGGTACAAGAAAACGATGAAGTTGTTTAGGTTGATGAATTTCTTCTTCGATAAATTCAATATCATATTTTATAGTATCTATTGCAGTTTATTAAATTAAAGTCATTTAAAAAAAAAAACAAGCAAAATTGATCAAACAAACCATTTAAAGTATCGATTAATTCATTAGTAAATATTCGAAATAGAACAGGCCAACGAAGTGATAATTCACCATAGAGATTTGCAAGTACACCAATAGTATTTTCTTGTATTGAAGTGAATTTTTTTGACGATAGTGTCCAAACAAGTAATGAAACTATATAAACATCAAAATCTATGTATAACCAAGAAGAAAACAATAATAGTACATAGACAGATGAGAAAAATAAAGTTATACAATAAGAATTTGTTGTACGAATATCTTCAAGTGTATGTTGTTTATCAGCATCTGTAACGAATACACTTGGTGTATTAATAACAATTTGATTAATTGAATTGAAAAATTTTTCTTGTTGAACATCAGTTACTAGAGAATAAAATAAGATCAATTGCATGGATAGAAAAAATAATTTCGTATCTATCAAACCTCGAGTAAGACTTCGAAAGAATGATGATAAAAAATGGCACATCGTATTACGGCCAAATTCAACATTATCAGTTGATGGAACAGAATTAGTCATGCTAAAAGAGAAAAAAAAAGAAACTTTCAAAATTAAGAAATACAATTTAAACGAAAAAAATTATTGTCGATGTCGAAATACAAAATACACTTCGATATTTTCTTTTGCTTATCTCAAGAACAAAAACAACTAGAACTTTGTACTTTACATCATTTGAATAAGAAATGTATCTTTCATGGAACATGAGTTATTTTGAGGATTTTAGTATCGCGGGGAAGAAAACGTTGTACCGACAAAAAGATCTGTCTATGAACAAAGTCTCAGATCGAAATACCTTTATTCTATTTGTTGATGTGTACCAAGTCAGTAAAATGCCTATAACTCTGGATAGAAAGCTTAAGAGAACTTATCTTTCTGAGATTTTTCATATCTCACTAGAGTCCAGTTTATGCATAGAGTCCGAACTGAAACGCAATTGATCAGTTGAAAACGTTCCCTCGTAAGCGGGGTCGATTGTTTATGCTTATTTTTTATTTTCAAAATGATTGTAAATCATCAGCTCACTATTTCATCCCAATTTTGCCTTCTGAAAGAATTACTGACAACTCCGTGAGAACCAATCCAGTCTTTACAGAAGTACCGTCTCCTTGACTTTCACACTAGATAAGGCACTGCATCAGATGAAAATTTCTTGGTATTCGATTTATTCAAAGTTGTTTACATTAGAAAGGATATTTTCTAAATATTATTATTCTGACGTTGGATGACATCAAACGTAAAAAATAAACATCATCATTCGATATAGTTTGATCGGATGTCTCACATTCAAGACAATTTTAGAGTGACAGGCAGTCAATTGACTGATTTCAAGGCTACCCATAAAACACTTCTAATGTTTGCACTGGAATCAGCCAGAAGATGCGATTTTGGATAGATCGATCGACTGAATTGAAGATCATAATCAGTTAAGTGATTTTCAGCAAAATCTGACTAACATAACCATTTCATAATCAATTATAATTTATTAGACTTTTATTTCGTTCACATTTCCTGTTTGAATGGTGACAAGTGCAAATTTCTAGTTGCTCGAATTTTCGAGATAGTCAAAAGACATCAAGATGCATTTTATATTTTGACATGAAGACTATAGTTTATATGAGTGCCGAAAATATCGTTTAATGAAGAATGTGAACTAGTGAGTGCAATACAAAATTGTTTTTGATTTTAATACCCGTATAAGCCACTTGGAAACGTTCTTTTCTAATAATGTTCATTCGCGAGGAAACTACCCGAACTGATATTGACCGTTTAAGTTCCCATTGGGTTCACAAGGAAATTTCGATAAAACTAGAAAAATCCTACAAAGATTCGTGTCCATGAGTTTCCAGAGCCGAGTTGTAACCGTTTTACTAGATTTTCGATCCAGTTTTATGTGTTTACCGAAAAACAAAAGAGCAGAATTTCGATCTGAGATTTTGTCCATACATATATAGGTCTATTGGTCCATAGAATATCCTGAATGTTTCAGCCGAAAAGAATCTTCATTTGTCGAGATATTGAATTTCCAAATAAACTCGATTTTTGTGACAAACGACCATTTTTAGGAAATTTATTATCTTAATAAAAGGAAGAATCTTGTCAGCTGAGAGTTTCAGGATATTTTAAGGATCATTAGATCTATATATAGACAAAACTTTTAGTTTGAAATTCTGTTATTTCATTATTCGGCATACACCTAAAGCGGAATCGGAAATCCAGTGAAACGGTCACAAGTCGGCTCTAGAAGCTCATGAACACCACTAGTCTTATCGAGACTTTCTTGTAAATCCAATATAAATTCAAACGACGGGTGTCAGTTTAAGTAGTGCTCTCGTCAACACTGACTCCCTTTGACAGTAAATTCCACTAAATTCGAATCCATTAGAATTTATTTTCAATCTCTTCTTTTTTTTCCTCATTTGTGTTGTACCGAAAACATACATTTGGATGCAACATTAAATTTTCTATCTTTTATTCTTAAATGATCATTTTTATTTTTTATTTATTTTTTTTTTATTAATAAACGTACTTGTTAGTTGCATTGATTTCCGCTGTTGTCATATTCATTCAACAGCAAAAAAACAAATTTGTTTCTAAAGCAAAAAAAAAACAAAAGCATCCATATTCACCATTTGTCTTTTCTTTTGTTTTGCTTTTTTTTTCAAGTTGCATCCTGTAAAACAAAGAAATTTCTTTTTTTTTCTTTCGAAAAAAAAATTTTCTTAAGTACTAATCGAGTTCGAAAATACACATGGAACGAATACATACACACACACGGACGTACATCCACAACAAACAAAAGAAGAAAAGAAAAACAGTAAAGACAAGATATAAAGAAGACAAACATCTTGACTTTGCAACAAAAAAGAACGAAAGAAAAAAGAGAATAATCATCGAACTTTTTTTTTTATACAAGAAAAAGTTTTGTTTTAACTTGGAAGAGAATGTTTAATGACAACCATACCGATCGTTATCTAAATACATAGTATTTGTTCTATTCCAAATCGAATGAACTGCAATGTATTAATCTATATGTATAATATAAATCATATATATGAAAGAATCAACTTGTACTGTTCGCAGACGTATTTGTGGTGGCTGAATCGGATATTGTTGTTGATGATGAATTATTTACATTAGCTTGTTGAAGTAATTCAGCTAACTTAGCTTTATCAACTGATGTTGAACCAAGTAATGCTTGTGCAACTTCTGGAATAATATGAATTGTTATCATAGGTACAGTCGATGATGACGATGATGTACCATCAGTTGTTGTTAATCGTGTTAATGGTGCAATAGCAAGTAAATCTTGTGCATTGGTAAAATTAATAGTAACACGTTTACTATTTCCATTATTATTATTTGAATCTAGTAGCGTTGTTGTTGGAATTGTTTTTATATCAGATTTAGAAATATTTAAATTATTAATAGGTGTTGTTGTTGTTATTGGTAAACGTGTTTTTTTTGTACATACATGACGATGTAATAGAACTTCTAATTGATTTTTTTGATCATTTAGTGTTTGAACAGCATGTTCAAGAGATTTTTGTTCGTCGATTAATGATTGCTCAACCTATTTTAAATGGACTATGTTTAAAAAAAAAGCCGAATTTTTCGTAAATTAAACAAACTTTTTCTAATTGTTCACGAAGTTCATTTCGTTTTCGTCGACATTTAGCAGCAGCTTGTTTATTTCTATCACGACGTTGTCTACGTTTAACATCTTCATCTGGTGGAAGCTTTACAAAGAAAAAAGAAATTTTTGTTTTTTTAAAACTTTAATATAAAGAAATTAATAAATACATACGGGTTCATCTTTACTTTTTCGTCCATTAGCAAGTGTTGGTGCAACACTCTTTCTTGGTTTCACAACAATTGGACCATAATGAATTGGTTCTATAGTTTGTTGTTTGCTATTTTTTGAAGTTGATACTGTTTTATGTAGTTTTCCTCGTGTTGTTTTCGTTCGAGTTTTTAAATCATCTTGTGTTTGACTATATTCATCTGTGGACATTGATGTATCATCATCACCTTCTAACATTTCATTATGTTTTGTTGGAGTAAGTTTAGCTTGATTAGCTAAAGCCATGGCTGTTGGAACACCTCTTGGTGTTGTATAATCAGCAAGTGATAATATTGGCAAACTTGATGGAGGTGGAACACTAATTACATTCTGTACAAAAAAAGAAGAATATGAAGTTTACAATTGAAAAACAAAAAATTTTATTTTATTTTATTTTTGTGCTCACGTACTAATTGCTTAACAGTTGTTCCTCGTTGTCGTCCAGTAGCCATTGAAACAAGTGTATTTGCAACTTCAGCAGCTGTATTTTCTGTATGAATATGTGTTACAGGATTATTTGAAACAAGTAATGTTGTTGATCCCGATAAATCTTGTGTTTGAACACTTTTTTCTGCGGTTTGTTGTTGTGTTGACATTTTAAATAGAGTTGGTGCAAATGTTTGTATCTTTGATCTACATCAAATAACCAAACAAAAAAAAAAATAATAATAATAAGTGAAATGTGATATTGATTTTTTTTTGATTTTCTTTTGAGAAAGTGACAGATGGTTAAAAGCGAAAAATAGTCGAAAACCAAAGATATTCAAGGAAAATCTCATCAATAAGATATGAAGAAAGACGAAAAAGAAAAAAGAGAATTTCATGATCCACGAGGTACTGCCATTAGTCAGTCTGCTTACCGCCCGTTGAATCAGCGTCGCATCATCAGAACGCAAAGTACTTTAGACAGAAAAACGCGAAATAGAGTTATAGTTGCGCATATAGCCCATGCTCCCTTAACAACATACAGACATGCCACATACTCATACATCGTTTTTGCGATTGCTTCGTCTTTACGTCCCTGATTGTTCTCTTACTCAGCTGCCGAGGAGGCGCAAAAAAAAAGAAATGAAGAAAAAAACTAGTTTGGAGGACGATGACGCATGATTCTTTTTTATTCGTCTCGTTTTTACACTATACGTTCTTTTCCAACTTGCTATATAGATGATGATTAATGACGCACACGCATAGCAAAAAAAAACAGGACAAACAAAACTTGATGACAAAGTCTGCGTCAAGCTTTTGTATGAATATGTAGGGGCGTTGTTGTCATGTTTGCTCTATGATTCATATCAAAAAGAAAAAGAAACCTGTATTCAATAATAATCAAATTTGGAAAGTAGAAAAAAAAAAAACAATAGAAACATCGATAACCAGAATATGATTTCATTTTATCTACCTTCTCGATCGCTTGCATATAGACTGCATAAATACCTATATTTTATATTAAAAACGAATAAGAGTATTGATTTTTTTTCTTTTATATCACAATAATCGGATGATCGTTCATAGAAAATGTAATATTATAAAAATAGCATACCTATCTTGCACAACACTGAATACAACGTTTCTACGATCCATTATTATCAATATTTTTCCATTTATTATAATCTAAAAGAAATTACTTCAATAAATATACATCTAGAGCAAAAACAAAATACTATCAACTTGTAAAAATTTTATTTAAACAAATTGATTAGAAATCGTTTGTGTTTTTAGTGTCTAAAGTTCAAGGTCATTTGTTAAAAGCATTAAATTTCAATCAATCATGCGATTTAAACGATGCTTACACCAGGTGTTTCATTGATAGAAACTAAAAGAAAATAATTTATGAAATTCAATAATTTAAGATTAATTTTGTTCTCTTACATATTTGATAGTTTTGTTTTCTAAGAGCAACAAAAAGACAATATGAAACATTGCGCTTTTCCCATTCTTTCTTAGTATTATATTAGATATGTCGTAGGTACATGTTACTAGTGAAGCAAAACAATGTATTGCTATAATAAATATAAATCATTGATTCAACCGAGAGTATTTTTGACATTATTATCGCGATGATATCAATTAAGATTATGTTAGGATCAGTGTTTTTACCAGTAGGATGCGGTATTTTCTCTAAAGATTGGGTTTACTCTATGGGAGTTTATAGTTATTACAGCATGTACGATGTGTCAGTACTCTCAAAAATAGGTGTTTGCCCACCCACCCACCCCTGGAGTTTTATATTGCGCTCTACCCGGAAGATAAAATCTGAATAAAACACCGTTCAGGATGTTTCTTTAATACCTCTGTTTGTTAGAAAAACATAAAAGCCAAGTTCTTTTTATTCGTCATTTGTATATACATAGAAATTCTTTCAATGAGATAAGACATTATTCTAGACAATATCTATCATGATATTGTATGTTTTTTTCGATTTTTAGAATTTCTAATATATGATTTCTATCAGACTCTTTACTGAATACGGCCCGTCGGATTCAAATCTTTCGGAAACGGAATCGGTTAACAAAAAAAGTTCAGATTCGAATGACATTGAGAGAACACTTTCAGACTCGAACCCGGAGTTAAGAGATAATTCTCAAACCCTGACCCAGCCAACAAAAAATTTTCGGATGCAAGCCCTGTTAACAGAAAACTTCAGACTGGGCCTCGACTGCCAGAAAGTTTTCTGATCTGGCTCCTTACCGATTCCAACAAACTCCATTTTTGAATCTTGTCAATTTGCTTTACATTTCGTTCAACATATGTTAAATTGACAAGAGTTATATATACCCAATAAGATAATTTATTATTCATATCGATATATTTTATTTCAGATAACAAGATTCGACTCAAAACCTAATGATTTCATTCAAACGATATAAACATAAATGATCTCGTATGATAATTATGTTATAAGAACTATCTCATTTAAATACAAATATCGTGAACTAAATAATCTAATTTAAATAGATACATCGCCATTAGAAAAAATAATAATAAATGAATTTAAAAAAGTAAACTTACGAATATTAAATATTTGAATACCTAGAGCAAAAAGTAAACATTCTCAATAATTTAACAATGTTAAATGTCATAATAGACTTCAAAATAATCTAAAATTAGAAACAATATAACTAGTTAACAATCACTTGATATCACTGTAGCATTTATATATATATGTATATCAAAAAAAAAAAAGAAGAGAAAGAATGAACTTTTGCTAACATAACAAACAACATCCACAACATTGGACTATATCGAACAGATGATAAATAGGAGGGAAAAAAATAATATCTATATACATATATCATTCATCATTTGCTGTCAATGGTGTTGAGATCATCCCTGTAGTTGTTGTTGGTGGTGGTGTTATTGTTTCATTATTATCATTATTTCGTACATCAAATGATTTAACAAGTTGAAATAGTGCACCTGCTTCTCTAATATGACGAAAATTAATACAAAAACCTTGAATATCCAAAAAAAGATCTTTTATGTCAATAACTTTATTACGTATTAACGATTGAATAAAAACACTAACAAGACGTACGAAACGATTTTGTAAATATTTATCTTTTGTTTCTTCACATGTTTTTATACATGTTGATATATATAAATGAAGAAATTCTTGTGGTAATTCCATTGATGTTGATAAACGATTAACAACTTCCATTGAATGTAAACTCATATCCATATTAAGTAATGATGATAAATATTCTGTCATTTGATTTGATGATATTAATTTTAATAAACATTGTATACTTATTAATGGACTATTTTCAACTAATACAGGTAATTTTGATGGTACAAGACCAATATGATAAACAAGAGTTTGATCATTATCAAGTTCATCTAATAATTTTTGTTGTTGTTGTAAATTTAATGCACCTTGATATGCTTTATCCATTAATTGACGAATTTCATGATTTATTGTATTTGCAATACACATTGTTGAATCCCATGTAAATAAAGTTGGATCATAATCAATAGGTGATAACCAAACTAATTCATCTATTGTACATTCATGTAATGGTGGAACAAGACGAAGAAATTCTGGATGAATTGTTTGTTCCATGGCATTATTTGATAATAAACGTTCAATAGTTTGTCGACTATCATTTGAACGATGACGTGGACCACCAATAAGTGTATCAAATCCATACTAAAAAAAAGTATTGATTAGAAATTTTAATTTAAATAATTTGTATAAGACTGACATATAGAATCCGTTGACTAGATCTCAAACTATGAGCCAATTATTACTTATAAGATGATCGTCATGATTTTCTGAAACATTAATTGGACTGTACTCAGGATTATCAGATGAAAAAGTTATGAATTGGAATTTTGTCTTTTTAATCATTTTGAATTCATATAACGAGATTTTCTTTTCTGTTTAATTTCACTTACAATCATATTCGAATTATCAAATATATTACTCATGCCTGAATCTAATTTAGTATAACACGTAACAATTATTATATAAAAAAGTATCTTCTCAAATTTTAGAATGTGAGTGTTGAGGAAATTGTTTCATTGAGTTCAGAGAAAAGCTTCAGATGTATGACATGACTAGCCTTAAGATTCGAGTACTATATGAATAGTGAATAAAGTAAGGCAATGACAGTGCATTAATAGCTCGTAAAGTTATGATCAAACTCATAAAAATTCGAATCTAGAAAACACATACACACGTATCTCAGGAAAAGGTTTGGAGGAACTACTTAAAATTAGAACGATCTGACAATCGCAGTTATGCTTATTATCGAATACAAATAATCAAAATAGACAAGCATCTCATATCTTCGAACCGATAATCCGATCTCAACGAAACCGTTTAGAGAACAGATTACATCGGAAAAAATTTACTCAATGAACTCGACATTGGAAAATTTTGAACCCAAGAGAGTCTATTTATAAGTCACAGAATGATAGTGCAAAAAAAGATAGATTCTTTACAAGTGTGAAAAGTAGTTACAGTAAGACTTGCGATAATGAACACTTCTCGATTCAACGAAGTAGCTTTTGCTAGAGCCGAACCTCTTCGTAGTGGATATCGTCCTATAGTTTTATGATGAATACTTTTCAAAAGTTTCGATGATGTCCAGGATAGAGAGATTTTACTATATCGTAACAATTGTTAATTTTCGAAGAATAAAAATAGATGAAAAGACCAGTAACAATGAGCAATAGTAAGTTCGTTTTTATTGACTAAAAGTCTTCAGATATCAAGAAAACATTTCCGTTTCTTATTTACAAAAAAAACTGCTTTTAGAAATGATCTAGCCTTTTTGTAGTAGATATATTTGAAAAAATAATCCTAAACTAGAAACAAGCCGTATGGACAGAACTGATGTTAATTAGAATTCTAAAGAAATTTTTTTCAATCGAAACTGTTAATTTCCTTTTTTTTATTATATAAGATGAAAATCAAGTAAATTAAGCGAATGATTTCACCTGAATGATTTTGATGAAAAAAAAAGAAATAAATGACATACATAATTAACTTCTGGGTCATCAATAACAGCTGATAAATGACATTGACCAAGAACAGGTAATTGTTGTAAACGTTCTTGAATTTTTTCTTTTAATTCTTCTTTTCCATTATCATCTTTAGTTGCTGGTAAACCTGTTTGTAATATTTGATTGGGCGTTTTTTTCATCAAATCTTTATTATTATTATTATTATTAATTAATGTTTTAACAAACCAGCGTTCATGTTGTGTTACAGGTGATATGAACCAATGAAAATGCTTTTGTGTTGATAAATTTTCTCCATTATTATTTTGTAATATTGATATAAATACTGGTGCAAATGGATTCATATGTATAGATTGTTGTTCACTTTTATACATATCATTAAAAAGAAAAAGTATAATTAAACGTTGTTGTGGTGTTGGAATTAAATCACGATTTTGTAATAAAAGTACAAGAGCGTTTCCAACTCGTAAATAATCGGATTTCGATATATTATGTTGAAATTGTGCTGAGATTTGTTCAAATGTTAAAGATGAACCACATGTATCTTCATTAAGAAAATTTAAAATGAGATTAATATCTTTCGATGATAAAGACATGGTTGGTTAGAAGTTCTTTTTTAGTTTTTATCGATTAAACTGTACAAACAAAAAAAAATTAGACATCAAATAGAATGGAGAAACATATATACCAATAGAAATGTTGAAGATGTCGTTAAATAAATAATAATTATTTGTTTTATCTTCAAATATTTTTATGTTAAAATTTTTTATAAGAATTATAAATTGAATATTTTTATTTGAAGTTTTATTTGATTTAATTAAATTCTATTGGAACCTCTGATAAAATAAACAACTAAAATGGTAGATATCATATGATACATATTGCGAGTGCATTTTTTTCTCTATTGATTATTTGTTAGTTGTCATATCAACTAAATAATAATATATTCGAATTTTTTTTCTTTGCATCATAATAGTATTACTATGGCAGATGATGAACAATTTGATATAGATACAGATAGTGAGATAGAAGATGAAGACGATGAAGAACAAGGATCAGATGATGATACAGGCTTTTTTCCCATTGATGAACCAATTGTACATTCATCGCAATCAAATACAACAACATCATCATCACAGATACCAAAACAAACAAGAGAAACATCAGATCAATCAGTAAATAAATATTCAACAGCTATTAGTACGTCGAATAATCATCCACAAGATAATAATTTTGAATACGTTGGTGAGTATAAATTCTCAGAAACAGCAAATTTTACTATAGTAGTTGTTATACCATGTGATATGCTAATATCACATGATGAATCACATGCTGTAGGAATACCGAAGCAACAATATTTGAAGTTATTCTCTAGATTTAAATGCTATTATAAGTTGATAACTAAAAAGTTACGTCTTTTCAATGTTTCGAAGAAATTCAAATCGAGATTATTTCCAAGACTAGTCTTTTCAAACACTTTAGAAATTTCGATTGAAATTAACTCCTTCGAGTTTTGTTCTATAATCTATGCTGAGAAAAGTAAGCGTAATAATTTTATTTAGTTTTAACACAAGATGATATTGTCAAATATATGGTAGAATGTATAAAAGAAGTAAATGAAGTTATAAAATTACCATCAACAACAGTACGTTTATTACTTCATCATTTTCGTTGGGATAAAGAAAAATTAATGGAACGTTTTTATGATCCCAATCATCAAGATGAATTATTTCGACAAGCACATATTGTTAATCCATTTAAAAAATCTCCTCATCTACAAACACAATTATCAAATTCATCACATCGTACGACACGTCGTCAAATATCAACAAATTCACAGTCACCTTCACCTTCAATAACTATAACAACAAATCCATTAAAACCTTTAACTGAACAAACATGTGCTATATGTTATACAACTAAATCACTCAATGATATGGCTGGTCTTGAATGTGGTCATATATTTTGTATTCAGTGTTGGCAATGTTATTTAACAACAAAAATTATGCATGAAGGTATTGGACAAACAATACCATGTCCAGCGAAATGTGACATTCTAGTCGATGATAGAACTGTATTACGTCTTATTGAAAATCCCGATGTTCGTCGAAAATATCAACATTTAATAACGAATTCATTTGTTGAATGTAATAGAAATATGCGTTGGTGTCCAGGTACAAATTGTACGAATGCAATTAAAGCAACTTATTGTGATGTAGCAATGGTACATAAAATGTTGTTCTTTTCTTTTTAACGTTCTATATATTTTTGTAAAGGTTACATGTACATCATGTAAAACATCATTCTGTTTTCAATGTGGACAATCATGGCATGAACCGATTAAATGTAAATGGCTTAAAAAATGGCAAAAAAAATGTCATGATGACAGTGAAACAAGTCATTGGATTGCTGCCAATACGAAAGAATGTCCTAAATGCCATGCTACGATTGGTAAGAGCAAAAAGAAAAACAAACAAATAGATCTTAGAGAATATTATATTATTTCGTTATGAATTAATAGAATAAAAGTCAAGATAAAATTTACTATGAAATAATCTTAAGAAAATAACGTAATACTAATATCTTGAATTATCTACTTGACAGGCGATAGAAACAGTTTCCCTCGAACATAATTAACTCATCGTTTGTTTCTGATGATTGCCTACGAAATATAATTATATGTCGGATATAATGTAAAAATAGATTTTCAGCTATAAATCTCAATGATTTAATTTCGTCAACAACTATATTCTATGATAATTCTTACGAATAAAATTCATGGAAAATTCTAGAACATTTGGAACATTCTTTTTCGTTCCTGTCCATTCCTAAGATGTTGTTGTCTCTGGAAAAAACAAAGTACCCAATGACGTTTGATCTAGGCAGTGCTATGAAAAAACGTCGAATAAGCCTTCGGCTCAAAGTTCTAATAATAATCCAGGATTTTTGCGTAGACTCCCTTCCAATGTCCGACTTTCTGCCAACGCTTTACAACTTTGTGGCAAGCTTAGATAGAAAGTGAAATAAAAATAAGTAGACAATATCGTTGCGAGGTGAATAGAATTGGGAGAAGGGCAGATTGTCTATTGTAGGAGTGGTCAGGTTATGATGGGTTTCGTTCTTCTACTCCCGGTCACTACTTCTAGCACTATTTTTAAACTATTAAATAAATTGACTTCTATTGTCAAAGTTAAAAAAATATTATATTTTAATTTTAGAAAAAAATGGTGGCTGTAATCATTTAATTTGTAAAAATCAATCTTGCAAATATGAATTTTGTTGGGTATGTTTGGGTGCATGGGAACCGCATGGTTCATCATGGTATAATTGCAATCGTTTTAATGAAGATGATGCTAAAAAAGCTCGCGATGAACAAGAACGTTCCAGAGCTGCTTTACAACGTTATCTTCATTATTATAAACGTTATCATAATCATCATGAATCATTAAGATTAGAAAATAAATTATTAGATCAGGTACAAAAACATATGGAATCAATGCAACAACAAATGAGTTGGATTGAAGTACAATTTCTTCAAATAGCATGTGATGTTCTTCGACAATGTCGTCAAACATTAATGTACACATATCCATTTGCATTTTATCTCAAACGAAATAATCATTCGTATGTTCGATAATAATATATTTGTCAACAGAGAAGAAAAATCTTGTTTCTTTTTTTTTAAGGATTATTTTTGAACAGAATCAGGCTGATTTAGAACATGCAACAGAAGAATTAAGTGGATATTTGGAAAGAGATTTTTCACAGACAAATGCAAGTTTAACAGAACTCAAACAAAAAGTACAAGATAAATATCGTTATTGTAGTACACGTCGTAAAGTTTTGTTAGATCATGTTGCTGAAGGATATGAATGTGACTATTGGTTAGTATTTAATTCAATTTTTTTCTTTCAACATATATGATTTTTCTTGTTGTTTTTATTTTTATTCTAGGGAATATAATGAGAATGTATAAAGATAAATATTCTGACTGTCATATTATCGTATCTGGACAACTACAGCTATTTATTTGAATTGTATATGTTCCGCCCATTATTATCCCTCTTGTCCTTATTCACATTATACAGGCGATACAGTCGCGTATAGTTGTTACTCTGTATTCAATTTCTGTATTTTTCTCTCGTTTTCGTCTCATTAAGTTGTCTGTGCTATACTCTTTGTCTTTTGTTCGATTTTGTTTAAGAAAGAAAACAAAAATCTAAATAAGAGCCAACAGTTTTTTTTAAAATGATTTCGCATGAATTTTATTAAATGGAGATCTTGTTTTTTTTTCTTCTTCGATATATGTATTTTATGAAATGCTTACATTAATATTATGTTTAATTGCTTGATAAATCATAAACAAAATTGACGAATTGTTGGTTGTGTAGTATCAAAAAACGCAGAGATAATCATTTCGTACAAAGTGAAATTTTGGGAAAGCGTAGAATTTACTAATGTCTTATTCTTATCATACAAATATGACTTCTTTGTTCAAAGTATATTCATTACAAGAAATACATTTATGCTTTGCTAACTACAGATCATATTTAGATGCTTATCCATGTCGGACGTTTGTTTGCACTACTGTCTGTCTATCATAATACCCATGCGAACCAGCGGTAACATTTACAACTTTCGATTCCAGACGTAAACAATTGCAGAGAGTATATTCGACCTAAATTCGAATTCTTAGAAAGAATTCAAATTAATCGAGAAGAAAACAGTTTCACAATATATTTTACCAATAAAAATTTATCTCATAACTGAGGCCAATTTGGGCTCCGTCGCTAGTACAAACGACATCGACGCATTAAAATTATCACAGTGCATGGAAATTGATTCAACTCAGTCGTTTTAAACAGATTTCAAACATATTCACGTTTTGATACAACAATTTCAAAAAAACGTTCAACATGATGAAGATATCAAAATTTGTTGTTAATCTTATAAACATTTTGAGTTTTTCTTTCATTTGTATACCCCTAGAACAAATAAGCTGCAGTCTATATTTGGGAGATATCGTTATCATAACAGTGTATTTTTTAAAAAATAATGATATATTCTGAAAGTGCGTGGAGTTTTCTAGCAGCCTATATAATTGCCTTTTCGTTTGAATATATGTATTACCAAAAAGAAATTGAGTACAATGAAGGCACTCTCATCTTCAGATTCCCACAGACATGGTTTTGTCACTGTCCTCAAAATTAGTTTTTAAAATTTTTCATCATTATAGGATTACCTTTTGAAAAAAGTAATTATATATTCTGATAGAACTTGAAATTCTTCATCATCGTGCGCTTTTGAAACAAAAAACGAGAGAAGTAATAAAAAAGCTACTTCTCTTTAGAGCTTGTCAAGGAGCGTGCCGATGAAAATACCCGAATTATTCTCCAGCATATAGCTGAAAAATAGTTAACAAATATACAGGCTGATAGAGAATTTCAAGGTCTATGAGAATCTGTGATTGCTTTTTTCAAAAAGTAATTCTATAATGATGTGATTTCCTCTACTGAAATGAGGGTCATACGCCGAAATGAGGTAGGTTCGTTCGTTTGTTCGCACCGAACAAAAAAATGTTCTTTTGACCTTCTGCAGATTTCTCAGTGAAGTAGCAGAAAATAATCTGCACAAATCGAGCCAATCAGATGTTTTCTTATATGGACTCTTAACCAATGGGATTTCGCGAAGCCGAAATCGAGCCAATTAGAGGTTTTCGCGTGTAGGCTCTTAACCAATGGGATTTCGCGGAGGCGAAATTGAACCAATCAGAGCTTTTTCGATATGGCCTCTTAACCAATGGGATTTCGAGGGTGTGGGTGTGGGTGTGGGTGTATGTGAGTGTGGTGGTAGATGTAGTATTTGTTAGACACCCACACCCACACACCCACACCCACACACACCCACACCCACACACACCCACACACCCACACCCACACACACCCACACACCCACACACCCACACCCACAAACCCACACCTACACCGAACAAAGGATATGAAGAATGAGAACAAGCAGTATTATGTTTATCTAGAATAATTTATAATTCTGTCTTGGCATCGAGCAAAAGAATAAGATTAAAAATGGCACATATGGTTTGATTTCTATGATATNTCAGCCCAAATCCTTTTAGGCTTTTTGCTATCTCGATACCCTCTATCAAACGACGTACGAATGAAGAGAATCGGCGTTGGACACCTCGGGAGGTTCCCTCGTAAGCCAAACGAGCTCGGGTTTTCAGGAATTGTGACAGAGTAGAGAGACGTATCATTTAATAAAAGAATCAAATTTCTAAGTGGTTTAGTTTCTAAAAGAAACTGAAGAAACTGTGGACAAAACGTCATCGCGTCACGCTTGTGAACGCCGATATATATAAATCAAAATTTAGAGTAGAGAGAAGTAAAGACTCGAAATCTTGCATTAGAATATCTTCAAGGTCAAATAAACATGATTGTTAACGACTGTTTTAGATAGTTTTTCATCATTTGGTCGGCGCAGTATTATGAATAGAGCCTAATGGGTTCAAAATTTTTGGATTCAGATCCCGTCGAACAGTACTTTGATGCTCTCAATGAAATCTTCTAATCGAAATTGTACGATTACCCTAATGATATGAGATACTTTGCCGGATTTTTTGTTGTGTTCGGTGACTAGCACATTCTATACATTTCTTAAATGGTTAGAGTCCTTCGAGTCGAAAATTTTCGGTCCCAGTCTAGTTGAGAAGTGCCCAAAGACTGAGAAATAGAAATTTCTCTACAGTTTCATGATTGCTAAAATAAAAAAATACGAAAATTCACGATATTTTTTGCTCTCAAATTCACAGTCACCAAGAAAGTTTTGGACATAAATGTACAGGTATGAAAACTATTGCAGAAAAAAGGATCAATTTGATTTTTATGAATGGTGGAATTGTGAGGGATCTAATGATCAATTCTTGTTTTGTTCGAGGAATTATCATAACTCCGTTGAGAGATTTTCTGTAACTTATACATTCCTTTCTCTTAGCTCTTGGTCCAGTGCGAGTTCGGGACCAACCCGACGGACTCTAATTAAGACTATATTTCACTGTATTGTAAACGGTCAGATACTTGATTTTCAAACCGTTGCCAAGTGCGTACAATACAACGAAATACGATCAAAATATTGCGCCTACCAAACGTAAATTTACAGGTATTTATGACTGCACACTGTATGAAATGATAATATACCGTATCGGTTTTTGGTCATCTTGACAACTGTAATCATAATGCTGAGCTTCTTTCAATATCTTATATGATATTTGGTTTCTTTTGTTGCTATGAATTGAATTTTAATTTAGGTTATGATTTTGGACAATACTATTCTCGCATTCGTATATATGAATACACAGATTATTCTAATGTAAAATTTCTGAAATTTAACATCTATGGTCCAACAAACTTAGCTAATTGGTCAATAATTATTGATGCGGAAGGAAAATGTACAAATTATCTTGCTAATATTCATTTGTATGATAAAAAGAAAATGAATGTTTTTTTGTTTTTCGTTATAAAAATCTATTTTTTTTCCTAATCAGCGATCTTCAATATGGCGCTTATCCATTGATTGCTCCACAAAATGAATCATTTCCTGAAACCTATATAAGTAGTCGTCATGATTTAATTACAACAGTATTTAATCAAACAGTATCTAATGGAACAGTTCAATTGAGAAATCCTTTGAGAGGAACATGGTTTGCTATGGTAAATAAAAGTAAAATGGTTTTAATAACATTTTTACTTCTGAATGAATTTCTTTCAGGCATTTGTTGAACGTTTACCAACAAATACCAAAACTAAAGTATGTCAATAAAAGATAAATTGTTTTATTCTAATAATAAATATATAGAGATCTTCTAGTAACTGTAACATTTATCTAACAACTTGGCTTGATTATCAAGCTGTACCAGTCCCATTAACACTAACTCTTAATCAACAACTTCAAATTATTCTATCAAATAATTCAACATTTGTTTATGCATCGTAAATAACTTTAACATTTTAATATTGTGCTGTTTTTTTAATCATATAATTATAACGAATCTAATGCATTATTTAACTTAGAACTAAAGGCTACACAGGAGGAAAAAGCAAGATAGATAATCTCTATATTGTTGAGTACTATTCCGAAGTTCACCTTTTATAGAAAGTCATCAACATTGTAACTAGCATGAATTTGTAATGAAATGAGCTATGTTGACAAAGGCAAACAAAATAGAATCAAAATGGTTGAGATTGATCCATTGATTCATCGATAGTTAGTGAAAATATTGCAGATAACAAAATACGAAAGTGCAAATGTATTTCATGGATACAGGATGTTTTCAAACGAGATAAAACTTCGTCTAATAAAATCAAAAGTTTGATAAATATTTAATTGAAATGACTATTGTAGTTTCCCGAAAGATTGGGCTAAGAATGTCTGATATTAGAACTTTTCGTCACAAAATATTACAATATCTTTTAATGGCATATTTTTGTATATCAGAAAATGACTTCGTAATGGTGTAAGTGTGCGGTTGTTAGTTTAGCTTTTTCCTTCGTTAAAACCGACAGCACAAGTCCTCACCAGAAGCCACATACCCGTACTCACAGTCAGAAAAGACATTACAATGATTCGTTTATGCGACGAAAATTCCGGTCACTGAATGTTTTACAGATTTTAGCTTGCTTATTTTAGAGTAGTTGAGATATGTGAACGATAAAGTCCGACAAAACAATATATTGACATGATGTTTTTCTTGTTTAGATATTATACATCAACAGGCAATTCTCGACTTACTGTTTTATCCGAATGGCTTTCGGATTGTGATATAGACATACGAGGACGAATCAATGGATTGCCAAGTGTTTTTCAATATGATTATCGAATTGGTTTGCTTTATTAAGAAAATTATATGTTCAAAAAAAAAAGAGATGATATTTTGTTTAGTATGTAAAAATGGTTCATGTTCTTCAATAGAAATCGATCAATTAGCTGCATTTGTTTGGATTTATTTTCAAATATCAGTGAATAATTTATCATGTTTAAATAATCCTATACATGGTTCTATGCTTGTTCATTCATCAGGTTATTCATTTCATAATCAACCTCGAAATTTTATAATTTCAAAATAAAAATTTTTCTTTAGACTGTTTATCGTATTCATATAATGATACTTGTATTCAATCATATCCAACTCGACGCCTTATATTTAATTATTATTTTGATTTTTTATATTTGCCTACGTATACAAATACTAATGTTAGTTCAATAACATTGAATGGAAGTGATTTATCTATTTATTCATATGAATTTATTGTTGATGATAGAAATATTGGTGGAACAATACATATTGATTTTGAAACTCAAATCAAGGTAGAAAACCAATTTATATTGACTAATAAAATTATTCCACAAAATTTTTCCACTATCCTAAATGCTTAGTAGAACCCATATAATAAAGAAATATATATATAGATAAATGATTACTGGATTCTTAAGACAAAAATTCTAGAAAATGATATCCTCAGTTTTCACAGAGGTTTCAGCTGCTGTATTGATTGGCAATGACGATTCGACTAATCAACTTACACCTCTAGTATCTAAAAGATGCAAAGAATTTTCACCGAAATGAGTTGTCTTCGACTTCTGCGCGACATTCTTTAGCTGAGATACAGTAATCTCACGAAAGCTTCTCAAGCCGTTTATTTCTTCTATCAAAAATTCAATATTCAATCTTCAATCTGACCGTGGTATTCCAAACAAAGAAAGTTGTAAAAAACTCAAAGACATCTAATTTTATAGAGAATTATTTTTTCTACCGCATCATGTAGTCTGAACAAAATTATATTTGCACAGATGCTGAAAACTGAGGATTAGGTTTACTGAAAACTTCGTCTTTAGAAGCCCAGTAATCATTTTTATTTTCGTATATTTACATTTTGTTAAGTAACTTTGCTAGTCATTATTTATATATTTGAATATATTCCTTGTAGCCTCATGTTCCATTGAATGCAAATGTTAGTATTCTTGGATGTTTATCTAAAAATCAACCACGTCGATATCATACATGTGAAATTGATTATAAAATATATATTAATAAAAATTCAGTTGTTGTCAGATCATTACCTTATCCAGAAATGGCTCTTTGGTATTTAACATTAGAACATAATTGCAATGAGTAAATTTTCAACTAATAATTTTATTTAAATAATCTATTTTGAATTTAGTTCAAAGAATGTATGTGCTAATGCAACAATGTCACTTACATTTCAAATATCATCATCACAGTGCACTCGAGAACAATGTGGAACATATGGCGTTTGTAGAATAGTAACATCACAACAAAATATTTTTTCTGCTTGTACATGTATTGCTGGTTAGTAAATGCTAAAAATAATCGATAGTCAAACGAAAAAACATTTGAAGATAGTAGATTATGATTAGAGATATGCCAAACTAGTTTATTTTGGTCTTGATGTCGTTAAGCCAAAATTAAGATTACGAGGAAAGAAACAGAAGTAAAAATTGTAGTTAAATATTCCATAGTTTTGAGCGAGTTATTTTATAAATTATATCAATCAAAACTAAAATCCCTAGAATCTGTATCGAGATCATATCAGTGTTAGCAAGATTATGGTTCGAGCTATCGGACAAGAAATTAACAGATTCGATCGAAAGCCAATTAGTCGTAATGCTGAAAAGTAAAATCAACAAATATAAAACTTCTTAGCATGATAGAGAAATAATTCAGAGAGATTCAGACAATGACTAACGAATCTATTCAAGAACAAGGAATATCAGATATGAGTAAAATTACGAATGGTTAGTAAACTGTTCTAATTGAACATGAAGTCTTACATAAGAGAAAGTAGTAATTGCTTTAAATTGTTCGTCCTTTTGAAGTTTCTATCTACTGCAGTTTTCACTATTGGAGAATTCATTCCATGAGATAAATCTTCATTTTTTTCATGCTATTTTCATCCTCGTGTGATGCTGTGTGTAATTGAACCACATATATGGAAATTGATGTTTGTGGAAAATGAATTAAGAACCATTCTTCTACCAAATATGCGACGAATTCTACATTGCGACTTATTGTTGTATAACGCCCAATTGTCGCTTTCCAAGTAAAGAATCTTGATCTCGCACATTCACTCCACTTCATGCGATAAAGTATAAGCATAATCTTCTCATTATATGTTTTTGATAATCATGACCGGTTGTATTGAGCGAAAAAAAAAATTTCATCAGATGATGTTTTATCAAACTATTCTCATGTTCGAACATGGCCACAACGATATATAGATAGAATAAATCAATGATTTCTTTTTCAACAAAGTCTCAAAATAATCAAGACAAAATTCGTCTTCATTTATCATTGTATTTTTTTAAACTTGTATATTGACCATTTCAAGCAATATGGGACATATCCATCTTTCATTTAACTTTGATCATTTTGCAAGAGTTACTATTCTGAAAAAGTTCTTTAAGTATAGACATAGGTAAAAATGTTGGCACTTTCAACTGACTGCACTCCAAAAGACTTCCTCTTAAAAACCAGTTTTCTAGAGATCCTATCAAGTAATTTTTACTAATAATTTCTCTGAAGAAAGTTCTTTAGCGTTGATTGTCTCAGAATATCTCGAGTAACTAAAAATATAAAAATTAGTTTTAGGAAAGTTTCTTATCCCAAGATATATGTGTTTTAATTCGACGAAGTCACATAGCAAATGGATGATATGGCCCATTTATTCATACACTTGTCTTTTCACTTACACATCAAAATGAATACATTTTTCTTTTAGGCTTTCGTGGATACGGTTGTACGGATAGTACTCATGCGTATCTATCAAAATATTTACCAAGTGTTCTTTTTTTAACACTCAGCAATTTAATGTTTATTCCAGCAGTGATAGTAGCAATTTATTATCGTTTATATATTGAAGCGTTGGTATATTTTTTTAATATGTTTTTTTCAACAGTAAGTGTTTTTTGCTTTCTTTATCTTTTTATGAAAAGAAAAATTTCTCGATAAATAACTTTATTCTTAGTTTTATCATGCCTGTGATCAAGCAATTTATAACTTTTGTATGTTTAAATATGATGGTTTACAATTAGCAGATTTTATTGGTTCATATGCATCATTTGTTATAACATTAATAACAATGTCAATTATTCCACGATCAATAAAAGCATTTCTTCTTATGTTAGGTGTATTGGCATGTGTTGCTATTAATTCCCGTGATCGTTTTGATCATTTACAGTTTATTGCTTTAACTGTTATTACATTTATGTTTACTATTACAACGTGGGTATGTAGAAGAAAAAAAAGAAGACAAAAAAGTTTTATTTGAAAAAATAATAATTTAGGTAGTTGCTTCAATTAAAAAACATCGTCTGCAACCATCTTTTAAACATCTTTTATTAATTACACCTGGACTTTTATTAGCCATTACAGGTCTTCTTTTATTTGTTTTTGCTGAAACAGAAGATAATTATTGGTATATACATAGTTTATGGCATATATTTATGGCAATTTCAATCTTATTCTTTCTTCCGAAGAAAATAAGTAAGAATATATTTAAAATTTTAATTAAAGTTTCATTAAAAAGACTCTTAGAATCGAAAGATTAAAATCTAGAAATGATCAGGTGAAAATCTTTTGTATTTCTCAAGCATGTACCACGCATGATTATATCGCATGAATACATTGCATGAAAAATTAAAGAAAAAGAAATTTAGAAACTTTTCAATCAAAAACGATCAAACAAATCTGGATAGGTATTAAATTAAAATTTCAACAGAACTTCTACAAAAATCGATCATTTTTTATTTAGTTTTCTTTGCTATGAAAAATGTTTATATATACGTCAATAGACATTTCGAAGTTATCTCAATAAATGAGACTTCTATGATATTTTCATTCAATTAGTTGTGTGTGCTGTTCTATTATATGAAAATTATAATAAAAAATAAAAATTTGACTTTTCATAAAATTGAATATTTGTTTCGAATGAATGAGTGTTAGTCACGATTGACTTGCTGCCTATGAACACGTATTACAAAAAGACGATAATGTACCATTAACTTATTTGTTGCTTAGAGTGGTTCCTGTTCTTTCATCTGTTTTTCTCAATCGCCTTACTAGCACATGTTAGCAAAGAGGTCGAGAAAGATAGATGAAAGAAGAAGCATTTTTAGCAATAAATAAGCTAATACGACCCCTTTTCATGCATCTCTTTAGTCAACAAGCAAAACATGAATCATTTTCGTTTAGTGACAAATCTAGAAACAATTGGTAGGAGACTCAGCCGCCGATTCAAGTAAAAAATCAAGTATATTCTTCTCTTAATATATACAAGTGTCCCATTTCTCGAGGAGACTCATAAGAATACGGAGAGGGGAAGAACTGAACTCCTTCCAACCATCCCGTGGCTCATTATTTTTTTTCTCCAATAAGTTTTTTTTTCATTTTAGAACAAAATACGCGAATCAAACAATCCCGTGAAATTAATTCAAATACATCTTATTCACCAGGTGGTATTGTTAATGAAGGAGCAACGGTACCTAACGATCAGCAAGACAACACTCATGAAACAAATTGATTTTTTTAATCACTTCATATGGTGTCTTTAACTATTACCTTTGTATTTTTTTCGCAACCTCTATTTTTGAATATCTCGGTCTTTTTTTTTCGATACATCTATTTTTGAAAAGATTTAAGATGTCGCTAAATGATGAACCTTAAAATCAAAAAGAATATATTTTTTTCTATATAAAAAGAAATTATTTTTTTTAATTTTTTCTGCAATTAATAATTTATATATAAATAAATAAATATTTTATGACTTTATCATTGGTTAATTTGGTTACCATATCGCACAATCACGTCTTTGTTTCAAATCAACTACTAACATGCCTCTCTAGCACACTCACTATACGTGGCCCTATTAGAATTATTAAATATAATCTCCAATGATTTTATAGTTTGACTTGAATAGAAAGAAAAAAAAGGAATTGTTTTTTTAGATTAGCAAATATGTGTACTTACCATGGAATATTGGAAGAATATCCTCTCATATCTATTGATTCATTTGAAACACATAATTATACAAGTACAATGTTTTTTATTACACATATTCATATGGATCATCTTGTTGGCCTTGAACGACCAGAATTTGGTAAATATGTTGCAAAAATTAATGCACCCATTTATATGTCAGAAATTTCCAAACAATTAATAAGTACAATGGCACCATATAGACATTTAATACCATATTTTAAATCAGTTCCTATTGATCAACCATTTGCATTAACAATTCAATCAATTGATCCTGTACAAGCAAAGAAAAAAGAAGGAGCTAGTAAGATAAATAATAAGGGAGAAAAAAAAATATATTAACATAATTCTTATTTTAGATAATGATAGTCTAAAAAATACATTATCATCTCATACACCACATGTAGGTGAAACAATTCTTGTTACATGTTTTGGTTCAGGTCATTGTCCTGGTTCAGTTATGGTTTGGATTGAAGGTGAACATGGAAATGTTTTATTTACAGGTGATTTTCGTCTTTATCGTGGACAAGCTAAACGTATAACACATTTACATCGACGACGAACAGATGATGATGATAAAGATGAAACATATATATTTAAACCAATCGATAATCTTTATATTGATATGACATTTTTTCGTCCAGATATTTTACATATACCAACACGTGAAGTTAGTTGTGAAGCACTTATTTTATGGATTAAAGGTTTAATGGATGATAAATCTAATACAGCTAATATTTATTTTAAAACTAGGTATAAAATTATGATTGATGAACACAAGACTAGGAGTCATGACTTATTAGTAAACCATTTCCAGCTCATATTAAAAGTCTCAGAACTTCTATTGGGATATTTGTAAAATGTGTCCTGAATGCCGTCTTTCTTTGAACATATACCAGTTGATAGATATTGAAATTTTGAGTCTAGTGAATACCATTCTGAGCCAATATTTCAACAAAATAAATATTTGGAATATGCGGCTCTGCTACATATTTTGAACTAATTAGAATAATCGAACATTTACAAAAACTTCATCTAATGTTATTTTTCGGGAATACTTATTCTTTTGAGCTTTTCGCTGAACGTGGGACTCAGTAGATTCGGAATCTCACGTTCTATCGACTGGTATAAGTCTCAAGTAAAACAGCGCTCAGAACATATTTTACTAGTACCTTTTCTATTGTGTCCAGACGATATGAATTGTTCGCAGATGCTATTAAATTTAGTTTTGGTCAGATGCCATCTGTGTATAAGCAATGATATTAAAAAAAAATGTTTCGAATTCCATTGATGTGAGCATATTGAACTAGAACTTTTCTTAATAAACCATGAGATTCATCGAATCTCATAGTTTTACATATGTAAACACTGAAAATTCATGTAGTTCCGCAATGACTTCCGAAAAAATCTGTCAACACAGTAACAGAACCGCGATGAATGTTTCTGTATTGATGCTGTGAAAATGTATTTTTCTCTTCGATATTCAACATTTCGAAAATTAAGCTTCAATTTATCGTTTAAAATCGACATGTCACAAAAATAGTTATTCAATTTTAAAAAGTTTCCTATGTCCGACATCAGTTTTTGGAAATGTCTTTGTCTGGCCTCTTGCCAAGTAGTTCTTTACTATCGTTTCCTCTTTTTCATTTCAAATTTCCTCAAAGTTAAGAAAATTCTTAAAAATATTTATCGAAACACATCAGCCAACAACGCCGATCAACCCATTGGCTTACACTTTTAGTCAAAAATAACTTGCCAAGATGGTTTCGGATAAATTATTATAAACCTACTAAAATGAAAAGTACAAAGGTATTTGTTTTTAAGATAAGAATAGACTTTTGCGGTCGTTTTCATGAACTTTGCAATAAAACTATTTATTCATTTTGTCCGAATTTCCTCTTTCAAAGAGCTAATCTAATGTTGCGCCTTCTGTTTCCTATGTTAAATCACATACTTAGTTGTTTGTAACACATTATAATTCTAAATTAGAAAATAGTCCATAAATCTCTTTAGAATGATTCATGACAGTTTGGATGTATACATATTTGTTTTTCTTTTCAGTGCTCGTGTTGGTTATGAACAAATATATCGAGCTTTATATGATGGTTTAGGAATGCGTATTCATGTTGAACAAGGTCAATATGATTTTTATTCATGTTTACCAATAATACAAGAATGTTTAACAACTGATCCTAATACAACACGTTTACATGCATGTCGTACATCAGCATCAAATTTTGCTCAACCCTGTGCCTTTTTTCGTAATTGTGATAAACCGATACGTGTACTTCTATCAATTATGTGGTTTACGGATCAAATAGCTGCAGGTAAAATTAATGTTCATGATCATTTGAATGAAATTTTCTTCAATGAAATTTATTTTTCAGGTGAATTATTAGTTGAATATCATAAATATCATTCAAATTTTGAACAAAGTGTATCAACATCATCAAAACGTTATTTTATTGGTTTTCAAGATTATGGTGGTGAAGGTGTTGATGTTTCTTATTCTGATAAATATTTAAGTTATCGTTTATGTTATTCTCTTCATTCATCATTTTCTGAAATAGCTGATATATTAAAAACATTAAAACCAAAACGTGTTACACCAATATCAACTCCATTAACATCACAAATGACATCAAGAAGTCTTTTTCAAATAATTGATCATTATATACAAGATCCAAAAAAACCTGAAACAGTAACAACAATAAAATTAAATGAAAAATTACAACGTAAACCAATTAATCAACAATTACAAATTAAATATCGTTATGATTCATTTCAAACCAAAGCAGAAAAAAAACGAAAAAAGAAAATTATGAAAGAACAACAAGAAAGAAAAAACAATGATGATGATTTAGATTTAGATATTAATGATGAAACTGATAAATTACTTTTACAACGTATCAATTCATTAAAAGAATCTAACAATAAAAAAATCAAAACAAATGATTCAAAACAAATTACTCGATGTATGTATCAACATTTCCTCGAAGATTATTTATAAATAATATCAATATATATTTCAACTTCTTCATAGATCATGTACTAGTCACAGTCTTGACCTAGTATACTGTGTAATTAGTCAAATTCAGTACATATTTACAAGGAAACATATCTAACTGTTGAACGCCGTTTGACTTCATATTATAGCTATGAGTAGGTCGTAGTGACACTTATATAATTTTAAAAATATTCGAGTCCACGGTCTATTGATAAAGATTTATGGATGTTTAAATGAAATTTTTACTGAGCGCAAGGTATTTTGAAAAACTCCAAAAATAAAGAATTTCGAATGGACATTTTCACCAAAAACAGACATGTCTTTGTCGAAATGTTACATGTTCAAGTACACTCAATTATTGTCTCATCCTATCATAAATCGCTGCTTTTTCGGATATTGAATATCTCGAGAAAACTGTTCATTTTTGTTGCAACTTTCAGGACTATTAAACGTGCCCATAGGCAAAATTTCAGGTCGAAACTCTGTTTTTTTTTACGAAAATGTCTTGCTCACGATACGAATTTTGTTTAAACGGCCATGACTGTATATCAGTAAACCAAAGACCGAAAGCCTTTTAAAGTTCTTAGTCTCATTACGACCTACTCATAGCTATTATATAAAGCTGAACGGCGTCTTTTTTTCATATCAGGTATACTTCAGGCTTAATTGTTTTATTTGGAGGCTGAGACTCACTTGAGCTGACTGGCTTATAGCTAATGAGTATTTTCTGATGAATTTGTTGAGAAAGATTTTGTGATCATACTTGAATAAATTTTATTCTAACAAAGTCATACTTCGCTACTAGAAAAAGTTGAAAATAGTTTTCGAAGATAAGTACTGCTTACATAATTTAAATAGTAAAGAATAAGACCAAGTAATAAACTATTATAATTAAATCCACAAAATGAATAAAAGATATGCTCGTTTAACTTCAAAAATCCATTATTGACAGTACTACAGATGGTTTTGACTGTTTTAAAGTTCACAGTATTTGTTTGGTACTTTATCATGCAAAGATATTGAATGAATCGTTAATTAAGTCAATACTAATAACAGTTGATATTATCATAAAATATAAAATGAAACCAATCATAAGTACTCCTAAATCAAACAGGTACAGTTATCAATAACCTTATAGGATTAACTGTAGATGCTCATTTTATCATCAAGTTTTATCTCTTTCGGTTCTTGAAGAAAATGAAATGAACCCTTCGATCAGTGTTTTCCTATGAGTGCATTTCCTTCAAATGATTCACAATTAAGAAATATCCTTATATGATTTTCGAACGAACACTAAACTATATAAATTTTTTGAAAAAAAATATTTCAATTTTAGCAATTTCATTCGACTTATTGAAACCTGAAGATGAAAAAACCGAATTCGAAAATGACTTACGAAAACCAAAAGTTGAACAATCAATATCTTCTGAAACTTCTCAATCAAGTCAGATACTTCCTGTTGAATTAAAATGTGAAGATACATCAAATTCCTTACTTGCTACAGATAATTCAAATTCTTCATTTACTAAAGATATTCT